TGGACTTTTAAAAAGCTAAAACGCTGAAAATCCTTTACTGTAGAGACACAGGCTAAAACATGAAATTCTGGTGTTCCCGAAGGCCAGTTACAAAGCAGGGAACGTGTCCTAGGGTCACCCCTGGAGTTAACTCCTGGCACTGAACTGAGGGAATGATCTCACCTGGAGACCCCCCCACCCACCCTCCAGCCCCGAGACTGGGACACTCCACCTCAGGACCTAGCTGAGAGTCAGGCCTCCTGAACAAGTGAGAGCACAGCACTTTGGCTTTCTCTGACTCTGAGAGCCACTATTTGTCCTTGTACTTAAAAATATCTACCGGGGCTGGAGCAATAGTATAGCGGGTAGGGCGTTTGCCTTGCATGCAGCAGACCCGGGTTCGATTCCCAGCATCCCATATGGTCCCCCAAGCACCGCCAGGAGTGATTCCTAAGTGCAGAGCCAGAGGTAACCCCTGAGCATCGGCTGGGTGTCACTCAAAAAGCAAAAAAAAAATCTCTACCACCAAACAGTCCATTACTGAAATAGTCTCCAAAGGGCCAGAGAGGTGGTACAGTGGGTAGAGCACTTGCCTTGTACACAGCTGACCCAGGTTCATTTCCTAGTACTACAGTGTTCCCTGAGCCCCTCCAGGAGTGATTCCAAATCAAAACAAAATCTTTTCTCTCTTTTTTTTTCTTTCTGCTTTTATTAAATATGCCAAACACAGTAACAAGTTTCACGATGGAGACGTTACTGGGCCCGTTCAAGCAAATCGATGAACAACAGGAGGACCGGACCGGACCGGACCGTATTTTTGGATCACGTCCAGCAAAACACAGGGGCTACAATTGACTCATGCACTCAGGAATTACTTCTGGCAGTGCTTGGGGGACCATGTGGGATGCTGGGAATTGAATCCGGGTTGGCCACTTGCAAGGCAAATGCCCTACCCGCTGTGCTATTGCTCCAGCCCCAACAAAACAAAATCTGCAAATAAAGATTGAATTATTTTTTTGTGAATTGATATACCCTGTGGTCTGTGCCTCGTTCCTAATATGCATGTGTTCTTTAAATACTCTCACAAGAAAAATTTTTAGATGTATATGTCTTTAATATTTAAAAACAATAAACACAGAAAACCCATTAAACGTATAAAACCCAGCTGCTGGAAGTGCACGGCCGCATCCGTGGCCTTGCGACATCTTACTGTCTCATTTTTCTTTTGGAGAAACTGGCAGGCTACCAAAAGTATCCTGCCCTCACGGCAAACTTCCTGTGTCGTACTCAATATGCCAAATACCAGTAACAATGATGGGTCTCATTCTCCTAACCCTGAAAGAACATTGAATATGGCTCTTTTAAAATCTCAGGGCTGGGAAAAAGGAGATGTTACTGGTGCCTGCTCGAAGCCATCGACTAACAACAGGATGATTATGATTGTGAAACACAGAATTATCATCATTCTTATGTTCTGGGGCCCCACCTGGGATGCTCAGGATCTATTCCTGGACCCTACCTCTGGGGGTGCTACTAGTGGTGCTGGAGGGGGGGTAGAACCTGAACGTTCCACATGGAAAGCAAGTACATAGGTGCTAAGCTGTCTCCCAGGCCCCCTAATTTCCTCAGTTATTTTATTATTTTGTTTTTGGGTGGGGGCGGGGCCAGGCTTATTCTTGGCCAAGGATCACTCTTAGTAGGGCTCACGGAACCATATGCGGTGCCAGGAATTAAACCAGGCTTGGCAAGCGCCTTATCTTCTGTTCTAGCTCTTTTATTTAAAGTTGTGATTCAATATAAATATTATCTTTGTTAATCAAAATAATGTCCACTGTCACCTGGAGGAAAGCAAGCACACTTTCTCTTTCCTGTTGACGTGGAGGGTTGTCTGGGGAAAGTTAGCAGGGGAGAGTCCTGATCGGCTGTGTCCCTCACACGTACCCTCCCTGTGATTTAATGTAGCTGTGACTGTCACTGTCCTCCTGTAGTTCATCTATTTGCTCGAGCGGGCCCAGTAACATTGTGAGACTTGTTACTATGTTTGGCATATCGAATACGCCACGGGGAGCTTGCCAGGCTCTGACCAAGAATCTGCAGAGGCTGAACTCAAGAGATTTCCTCCCAGGCAGGAAGTATTATTGGTGTGGGAAACTCGTATAAAGCGATGGCAATTCAGCCTAAGGCATTTCAGTAGATGGCTACGGTTATGGATTCCTCCACCCCTCTCAGAGAGCCCAGCAAGCTACCGAGAGTATCTCGCCCACACGGCAAAGTCTGGTAAGCTACCCGTGAGGTATTCGATATGCCAAACACAGTAACAACAAGGCTCACGATGGAGACGTTACTGGGCCCGCTTGAGCAAACCGATGAACAACAGGAGGACAGTGACAGTGCATCAAGAGACTATGGATGGGAATTCTCTAACTTTCTCAAGCCCCCCGGATCAAAGAGTATTAAGAGGGAAATAATACTTCTCAGCAATCTGCTCCATGATGGATGCATCCAACACACGTAACAGAGTCTTATGAAACGAGATAAATATCAAAGCTTTTTGCAACTTTCACCTTCTCTCCCTTGAGACGATTTAGAAGGATTCTGGGGTTTGGAGAAACTAAAGACTGGTCTGAGGCGTGTAGTTTGGAGGATATGGCAGCCTGTCTCTGAGGGCAGCTGCCCCATTGCCATCCTGTTAACTCTGAGTGCGCCTCAAAGGAACCTTAATAACACTTAGGCACCGTTAAGGGCTCTGGGTCCCAAGCTGCACAGATGCAGTAGAGTCCTCCACTTCTAGTCTCCTTGTTCTTCCTCACCACGCTAAAGAGCACCTCCCCAGGGGCTCTGCCATTCTGTGAACACATGACTGATGTGAGCTCACTCTCATTTCCCCAGCTGTGCGTGCTCACCATTCTCTCTCATGAATATACACAGGTTTCTTGGGCGGGGGGCGGGGGGGGGGGGATGCTGGAGTATATATAAGCTGCTATGTCACTTGGTTTCTGCAGGGTGGGAGACCAGACCCCCAACTCCCTCTTTTGAAGCTGTTCTCCAGCCCATGCAGGAAGATAGTAATGTAGCACTGTTGTCCCGTTGTTCATGGATTTGCTTGAGTGGGCACCAGTAACGTCTCCATTGTGAGACTTGTTGTTACTGTGTTTGGCATATCGAATATGTCACGGGGAGCTTGCCAGGCTTTGCCGTGTGGGCGAGATACTCTTGGTAGCTTGCCAGGCTCTCCGAGAGGGGCGGAGGAATCAAACTTGGGTCAGCCACGTGCAAGGCAAACACCATACCCGCTGTACTATTGCTCCAGCCTATTAGTTATATAAAAATCATAAGGTTAGATATGATAAGTAGAATGAGATGATATGATATGATAACCCAACCAAACTTGTAGCATTGCCAATAAAACTTTGTTTGGGGGTCACACCTGGCAGTGCTCAGGGCTAAACCCAGGCTTTTCAATAAGAAATCAGTCCTGGTGGGGTTTGGGTGGCCATATAGGGTGCAAGTGATCAAACCTAGGTTGGCTCTGTATAAGGAAAGTGTACTACCCCCTGTGTTATCTTTTCATACCTTAAGTATCCTCTTTCTATTCAGATGTCCCTGAGTTTTATGTAGGATAACAGAAAAGTGAAAATGCTAAGTACTCATTTTTTTTCTTTTTGGGGTGGAGTCATACCCAGTAGTATCAGGAATTACTTCTGGCAGTGCATGGGGGACCTTATGGAATGCCAGATATTCAACTTGGTTTAGGTGCATGCAAGGCAAATGCCCACCCACCTGTATTATCATTCCAGCCCCAAGTCCTCAATATTTGTGTGTAGAAGCATGGAAAAGCAAGAGTAAAGCATTTTTAGTAGATGTAATTTTTAACACAATCAGACAAGAATGAGAAGCATTACAGAGTTATTTAATGGTAATGAAGGCCCAGTGAAGGTTGAGACTTAAGTATGCAAACAAAATTTAAGATTGCTGGAAGGAAGGAAGGAAGGAAAGAATGATGGAAGAAAATGGACTATGTGTTAAACCGCGCCACCATGCCTGCCCGGAGGGGAAAGGGTGTTGTCCCGCTCGCCCGCTCCTCTCTGCAAAGAAAGATGGCGGCCGCACAGGAGCCTTGTGGACAGCAGGTTTGAGCCGGGGGCGGGGGGCGGCAGGGGCCTCATGGGAAGGGGGGGCATTCTGGGCCGTCCTTCACGCCCGACCGAGGTCGCCAGCTGCCCCCCACGAGCGGCTCTCTGGCACGGCCATGACTCCAGAGCACAGAAACCAATCTCTTAACTATCTAACTTTTAATAGAAATACTTCCAGGGTTAATAAGTAAAACAGCAGAAATCTAAAACCGCGCGGCCGCAATAGCGGCCGCGTGACATCATTTTATTCTTAAACCAAGCTGTAGAAAGCAAATCATTTCACAACGCTGTTTCAGCATATCTGATGGGGGGGGGGGTCATAAACTCTAAACAATAATTGTGCATCTTCTATCAAAACAATGTATCTAGTCAAAGTAGATAGAGTATTAACTAGAACTCATCTGCCACACAGGAATTGGGAGGGGTGGGAGGTGGGGTTCTATTGGGGTTCACGGTTAAAAATAAGTATTGGTAAAGGGAAATGTGTTTGATACTTACATGACTGAGACCTAAACCCGAAAGCTCTGTAACTTTTCCCACAGTGATTCAATAAAGAAATAAACTATTAAAAAAAAAAAAGAATGATGGAAGAAAGGAAGCTAAGGAAGGAGGGGGAAAAACTGAAGGAAGGAAAGGACAAAAAGGAGGAAGAAGGAAGGAAGAAAAAAGGAAAGAAATGAGTAAAGAAGGAGCAGAAAAAGTAATAAATGTGCTGTCTCAGGATTGGTTTACTGTAATTCCAGCAGATCTGCACAATTGAATGCATGCAGTATGGCTTACTTTTTTTTTTTTGAAACTTAAATAATATCGACACTATTCCTATTATTTTCCTAACAACTTCCTCTTAAGATTTATGATTTTCTGCATCTGATGTCCCCGTCCATTGGGCTATAAGATTGGAATGTAACTATTAATTTTAGCTCGATGTCTTTGGGAAATGCACTCTGCTATCCATACGACGTTTCTCATTTCTTGTTCCTTCAGCTTGGTATAGGCGTAAAACACACCATAGTGGAATTGCCTGTTGAAAGCCAGCACGTTCATCTGTACCTGAAGAAAAGAAATAAAATGAGGACTGTCAGCTTATGTGATTAATAAAATTATTAATTATTGATAAATTAGAAATAAAATAATATTAAGGTACTATTAAGGCTTGCTCTTGTGTCTGCAGTTAAACAGGCAAATTAAGTCAGAGGGAAGAGTAATTCAGCAAGCTAAAGGGACAAGTTCACTCTGCAGATAAACAAAGAAAAGTCTCATTTAGAAAGCACTGCTAGCTCTAAGATTGATAGGAGAACTTCGGTGTGTTTAGCTGTGTGTGTGTGTGTGTGTGTGTGTGTGTGTGTGTGTGTGTGTGTAGTAATATTCATCAACATTGATCTGATTTCTGGCTAAGAGACTTGTGACATTTAGATAAAGTATTTTTTCTTGGCCATGAGCTTTAGGTTTTTAAAAGGGGGGTTTGACCCTAATTCCCTTCTGGGGCAGTGTCACCAGCCCTCGGGCATTTACACTTAGAGAAACCACTTTAGCTTCTTTTACAGAAGGCAGATCCATTAGAGAAAATGTCACAGAGATTTCAAAACTGGAGTGAAGGTTAAAATGTAATGATTCCTTGATTCTTTCCATTTTCAAGACAAGGAGGAGGGTAACTGAAATCTTTATGAAGTTCTGAAAATCTCAAGCAAAGTACTTAGGTGCAGAAGGCCCCATCAGGGATGGATACTTTCCCTGGCAGGGGCAGAATCCTCAACAGCCTCCTTACAGTGGGCACCTCTGCGTAGAGGTGTCAAATTGTAAAACATCCCTAATATATGAGATCATTCATTTTCTTTAAACTTCTATGACAAGTTGTAGAAAGCAATTATGTCAAGAGTATGCCTTGAGCCAGGGAGAAAGCTCAAAGAATTGGAGCACGTATTTTGCATGCGGGACTCCTGGGTTCACCCCCTGGTCCTGAATGTGCTCCCACCTAGCTGAGAAAAAAAATAGGCCTTATAGGGAAAACTTTCATAATTCTTTCCGAAGTCAGTTTAACCCTAAGGTTTGACTGAATTTTCAGATTCTCAGTCTATGCCAGTGAGACTGAAATGAAAGTGGTTTTAGGAAAATTAATGGAGTCATTGGAAAATTTGTAAGATCCTTTGTTTGAATTGTTCAGTAGGATGGAAATTAACTGTAAATTAATTAAGTAAGCCATTCCCTCTTCAGGGCATCAGGGCATCAAAGTAATCTAGATTCTCTGGATGAATTATCATAAAATAATTCCTAATAGTGTGAGTCTTACTATCAATCAGCATAATCCTTTTTGAAGAAGGGATGGCTCAAAAGTGAGATGTACCTATTACGAGGCTGTGGTGTGTGTGTGTGTGTGTGTGTGTGTGTGTGTGTGTGTGTGCGCGCGCACGCATGCGCACACATGCGACAGTGTGTGTATGTGTATAATCATTCAAATGTACTCTTCTCTTTCTCTTGCTAATTCCCTCCAGAGTTTCACTATGCTCGTATCAGTCTTGATTGCACAATTCTATAAGAAGTTATCACATATGAATCATAGGACAAAAATATTCACTCATAATATCCATTGGCTGTCAAATTATGAATATGCCTAATCAACAGGCTTGATCAACTGTAAAAAGAAACCAGAGGAAGAAAGTATTTAAGACCTATAGTCAAGAAAAGGAGCATACAAGCTAACAATATTCTTATTTATAGCATACCTCACGTTCATAAAACACATCCTCCAGCGTCTTTCCCCCGTTGCCATCACCCACAGCCTCAAACAAAGGCTTGTAAACCTTAAAAACAAAGCCAGGAGAAGATGAATCAAATTATAGCTGATTGACTTATTTAGACCTACCATGCAAGAGGCAAAAGGAGCTCTACCCTCAAGGCCTACTGTTTTGGAGTCACTTGCAGTTCTTAGGTCCTAGCAGGTCCAAGGTGAATAAATGTGGGTTGACCAGTGTTGGGTTCAAGAGTTTTGTGAGACCAGAACTGATACAAATGAAACTTTGAGTGTGGAAGGAGCAAAATATAGGAAAATGCTCAAATTTTAGTATTATGTAAAAGAGCCTTTGACTATGACAATACAAAGTATTACAAAGGTTTATGTAAAGTTTGTCAACTATTCCTTTTCCTGTGGGGCATCAGAACTTCTTAGAGAATAGCAAGAGATACGTCATTCTAGATCTGGAATAGTTACCTGGGTTACCTGTAAGTAGCTGTCTACATGTTAGAAGGAATTGAATCAGGGTTTAGAACCTTAAACCAAAATGCTTCAGTTTCTTCCAAAAGTAAACTTGGTGTTAGAATAAGCAGAGAAATAAAAGTAGTTCTCCTAAAAGGGAATGCCCTGACACAGAGGCAGGGTGGGATGGGGGGATGAAGGTGAAGGGATACTGGGATCCATGGTGGTGGAAAATGGGCATTGGTGGAGGAATGGGTATTTGATCATTGTATAATCGAAACCCAAGCACAAAAATTTGTAAGTCTACAACTGTACCTCATGGTGTTTCACAAATAAAATTTTTAAAAAAATGTACATAAAAAAAATTAGTTCTTTCGTTCCCTAGTTCTGGCCACTGAACAAAGGTAATGAGATAAACCAATATATCCATAGTCTCCTCTGCATTTCAAATAGACAGGCTGTACCTAACCCTGTTTACACAAGGGCACTTGAAAGGACTATTGGGTCAGGCCATTTTGCATAACTTTGACATGAGCTCATATTTCCAGAACACTGCACCGGTCTCTTGGAGAAGTGGCTTTATCAAGCACTTCAAAAAGGAGTACTCAAATGACCACTCCGTGGAGATTTAAATCTAAAATTTAAGCACATGCTTAGCAGGAACCCTAGTGAGCACTAGCTCAGGTTAGAACTTTAGAGTATTTCTTTGGGGAGAAGTAGTTGCAGCAAGAAATGCTGGTTTCTCCCTGACAAACATTACTAACTGCTTAAGATAAGAAGTGCAAATTTGATGTGCAGACTTGTGAAGCTGTCTTGATGAAATAATTTGAGACACGTAGGGTCCCGGGAGAATCACATACTGCATAATGTTCTGCGACTCTCTTCATCTGTTCGAAGTCTTCTGCTTGGGCCAGTAGGCGCAGCCCCTCTGGATAGAGTTTGCCACAGGTCGGGTAGAGGGTCTCCCGCTCGTCTTTGCTCAGCTCCGTGCCAAAGGAGTTCAGAGTGATGATGAAAGCCCGTCTGTCCGCCTCAAACTGAATTTGCAAGACATGAGATCAGTAAAATCCAACCATGGACTGACTCAACACAGGAAACAGAGCCAATAAGTCGACAAATTCATTTCTGAAGGGATTCGTCTTCCTTTCCGGATCTCTGTCTAATTACAAGACAGACATGTGTTATTAATGTTCCCTGAGTCTTGTATAATGGAGTAACTTTGCTTGCCAGAAAAGCCTCTTGCCAGTGATAATGGCCTGTGACTGAAACTCCCACTAACCCATCCTTCCCAGGAACCCTGCAATTACTCAGCCATGTGTCTACCACAGAGGCCTTGGCCGCTAGAGTTTCAAGGGCCTCTTCTATAGAAATTGGAATAACAATTACTTGTTGGGGTCAATTTGGGGATAAAAATTTTAAATGTCAGTGGAATCACCACTACTATGTGCGGAACAAAAAGGGTGTGTTATATGTAAACATCCCTTTTCATCTGTTGATGTCAGTCATTGATGTCATTTTATATAATGAAACCTCATAGTATCTGCCATTTAATTGGACTGTTGCTTTGTTTTCTTTTTCCTTCTTCTTCTTTTTGTATTTTGGCCACACCTGGTGATGTTCAGGAGTTCCTCCTACCTGCATTCAGCAATTACTCCTGAAAGTAATGGGCGACATAGGGAATGCTAGCAATTGAACCTGGGTCAGCTGCATGCAAGGCAAGTGCCTTACTACTGTACTATCACTCTGGTCCCTGGTTTTGCTTTATTTGTGTATACGGGGATGTGTGTGGGTTCTCAAGTACCTCTTCTATATAAAAAAATTGGAATAACAGATACTTGTTGGAGGCTTAATTCGGGGATAAAAATTTAAACGTTAGTGGAACCACTACCATATGTGGAACACACATGTGGTTTGGAAAGTGAAGGGGATTATAGGGTAGACAGGTCCGGCCTGGGGTGTCACTCCTGTGGAGAAAGTGATCCATCAGGAGCCACATCCATCCAAGTTTTAGTTATTTTCTTAAAAACACTAAGTCTGACGCCACTAAATTTAAGTCTGTTGCTAAGAGTTAGGTGTCTCAGATCAAGTTCTTTTCCTTACAGGCCCTCAGCTTCCTTATTTGTAAGGTGACGGGATTTGGTCCTGGAGGTAACTACTGTACACTCAGAGCCCATCTTCTCTGCTGGGCATCCCAAGGCATCTCAGCAAACAGGCCCGTCAGCCTCTTCTTCATTCTACCGCTTGAATTACTTATTATCCTCTTAAACTTTCCTTAATGGGTCCTCCTCCCTGAGCATGGGTATTACTGGATAACCTTGGACTAAACAAGTCTTCTCCCGGAAGCACCAACACTTACCATGTAATTTTAATTCAATTTTTATTTCTTTTGGGGTGGCACATAACTGGCAGTGCTCAGAGTTAACTTCTACTTCTGAGCCCGGGGTAACTCTTGGTGGTGCTTGGGGGACCATATGCAGTTCTAGGGATCAAAGCAGGGTCAGCTTTATGTAAGACAAGCACCTTAGCCCCTGTACTGTCTCTCTAGTGCCACATGACTTTTGAAATCTGCATGTATTTCCTTTCTCTCCGCTAGACTAAAGTGTTTGAGGGATCATTTCCATTCACTAGCCAGCTTTGCATCTACACTGGCTGACATATAGAAGTATCTTCATCGTCCACTGAATCTAACAGAAATGGTTCGAAAACTTTAGAAATTCTCTAATATTTTCTCCCATGTTGCATTGTATACTGTCATTGTATACTGTGTGTTCCATGGATTACCAGTCATGCTTTTTGGCATTTTCCAGAAGCTTGTGAGAAATGCAAAACCTCAGGTCAAATACCAAACCTGTGGAGCCAGAAATCTGTGTTTTACAGAATCCCAAAGTTCCTAGTAATGCACAAGGAAGAAGAAATGAGTTGCTCTGTATCCTTCAATCAACTTCTGTCACTGTCATTGTCACTGTCCTCCCGTTGATCATCGATTTGCTCGAGCGGGCCCAGTAACGTCTCCATTGGAGACTTTGTTGTTACTGTGTCTGGCATATCGAATACGTCATGGGGAGCTTGCCAGGCTCTGCCGTGCGGGCGAGATACTCTCGGTAGCTTGCCGGGCTCTCCGAGAGGGGCGAAGGAATTGAACTCGGGTCGGCCATGTTGGCTGCGTGCAAGGCAAACGCTCTACCGCTGTACTATCGCTCCAGCCCTTGATCAATTTATTCTGAGTAATGGACTAATAACAAATCCAGACTTGCAACCAATTTTATGGGAACTCACACTGAACAAGTGTTTTCCTCTTAGGAGCAGGAAACCTAGCTTCTTCTGATCTTTTGACTGCTCTCTTGGAAACTATGGGTGAGCTAAAAGCAGGAGTGACCTTTATTTGGAAGCAAAGGCAGCTACCTCAGGGTACCGAGTAAAGTTAGTCTTATCATAGTTTTATGCATTTTGGTGACTAGACTGTCACTGTCACTGTCCTCCCATTGTTCATCAATTTGCTCGAGCGGGCACCAGTAACGTCTCTATTGTGACACTTGTTACTGTGTTTGGCATATTGAATATGTCACGGGTAGCTTGCCAGGCTTTGTCTGGTTGGTGAAATACTCTCGTAGCTTCCCGAGCTCTCCAAGAGGGGCGGAGGAATCGAACCTGGGTCGCCTGGGTCAGCCACGTGCAAGGCAAACGCCTTACCTGTTGTGCTATCACTCCATAAATACAAAAGGAAGATGTCATATCATTTAGGGACCTTGGGGAGAAATAATACAGGAGGTCCAATGGTTAATTGCCTCAAGCATTTCTTTGTCTTGCTTTCTAGTCTTAAAATGTTAGGATTCTATGAAAATTTCTAGTCTTAAAATGTTGGGGGGGGGCGTGTTCCTATCTTTGAATCACACCTAGAAATGCTGTGGACTACTTAGGGGTCACAGAGCTCAAGGTCATATGTTAGTTAGGGACCAGACCCAGGGCTCCTGCATGTAAACCTTAAACTCCAGTCTTTTGAGGCCCAACATATGAGGATTTTATTTATTAGTAGCAGTATTATTTTGGGCCACACCTGGTGATACTTAGGGCTTACTCCTGACTCTGCACTCAGTGATCCATTCCTGGTGGTATTCAGGGGACGATATGTGGTGCCAGGGACCAAACGTGAATTCATGGCATGCAAGACAAATATTCAATCCCGGTACTGTCTTTCCAGCCCCAAGATGCTAGAATTGTAAAGAGAGGGGTAGATTAAGGTAAGGAGAGCTCGAAATGTGCAAGGCATGGAGTCCTTTCTAGAAGGAGGCTAGATGAAGTAAAACATGGCATTTCGGAAGTATGGGCACAGCTTAAACACTGGGACAACTGCTCTGTAATAAGTCACTTTAACAATCCATAGACTTCCCCACTTCTCGTAAACACATCTCCCCTTTACCTACAATGCACATATCTATTCCTGTATGGTGAAATTCTCCCTGCATAACAGGTCACAGGCACCCAAAAGCATCTTTTTCATAGGAAAACTTTCCATTTTCTCCTTAATTGGATATGATTTCCTTTGGACTCTCTTGTAATTTTAATTTCTCTTGTTTATTATAGTTGTCTTTAAATGTACCTCATTATCATCTTCTAATCTTGAGACTGTAAGCAAGTGTTTGCAAGCTCTTAGTGAAAAAGAACTATAATTTTGTGGAGTTATAAGAGAACTATACTGTCTTTGGCAAGCTCATTGCTACCAGTTTGACAGGATGTCTGATTATGGAGGAAAGAAAATAGATGGAATAAGAGGCTTTGTTAGTCAAACATCTATGAAAATTTTCACAGGTTTGGCATCCTGTTGACAAAATTTATGATGAATACACTATGTTCTATGTTCTACGTATTCTTTTCACGCCTTCCTTCAAACACTTGTAACTTTAAAAACAAATTTTGTTATTGCAAAAGATAACAAAGTACTGTTGATTCACTCAAAATTCACTCAAAATTGTTATCAGTTGTACATGCCAGAGTGAGGCTGATCAGGTCCGATATTCTTGCCAATTCTCGAAGGCGGAAAGGAATACCTTGCAGGAGCAGTGGGTGGAAGAGTGGAGAAAGGGAGTGACTGACTGAAATCAAGTCCAGCCTTGTCAGCGGGGTTACTGGCCAGGGAAGGTGGACAGTATTCCCTGCACGTCATCATCCCTGTTTGTTTAGTCACATGGGCTGCCAGTCGAGCAAAGGGAAAAAAGTAATGAAAGACACAAAGGCAAACAGTACACTGTGGTGTATTTGCCTTGAATATGTCAATTTCCTCTTTTTCATATGAAGTCACAATCTCGTAATCGGACCAGATTCTCTCAGACAAGTCTAGTTTCCATCACAGACTCCTTTCTACCATACAGACTCCTTTGAAATCTCCAATCAAATGAGATCAAATGAGACTATACATGGAAGAACTGTAATAGAAAAACTACATTAATTAAATGCACCACAAACAAAAGGAAAGGTCATTACTTGATCTTATGTAATTATGTAAAATTGATCAATCTCCTTTGTTCATGTCATCAGAAAGGTCAAAACTGCCACATGCTATGTGTAACTGGTATTTTGATATGTGCAAAATTTTATTTTAATTTTTTGCATTGGTAGGGATTGGATACTGAACCCAAGGCCTCACACAGGCAAAGCAAATGACTCTACCACTGACCTACATCCCAGGCCTTGGTGTTTCTAGTTTTAAACTATAATGATGATAATTTTTTAAAGCACAGCTTGAAAAAAACCCCGGAAGCTAATGTAGCACTATCATGGGTATAAGAAAGAGCCAATGATAACAACAGGTATATATAGTTTGATCAAATCCTCCCAGAAATGAGCAATATTATTATCTTGTCTTTTTAGTTACCTAAAGAATTACAAAGATATTTTTATCTATTTCTTATTTTATAGTATAAACATATGATACTGCTTTTGAATTATCACCTTTTAGACAAAAGAATTGTGAAAAGTAAATTTACTGTAGGTGCTCTATAAGGTAACGGGTGCACAGACAGGAGTGGGAGCCCCAGGCTGCTTCAGTTCAAACCCAACACTGCCACCTACTACTTACTTAACACCATTTACTGTCATTCATTAGGCAAGTTACTAACCTCTCTGCCTCTGTTTCCCCCTTCTGAAAAGAGGCACTGAACTGCCCGATGCACTGTGCTATGTTGAGGTATAAGTGAATCTACATATTAAGGTACTTAGGATAATATTTAGCACATAATACGTGTTCTTTATTAAGCACACCATTGTATACCTTTCCTCCCTCCCACCTTCCTTCATTCTTCCTTTTTTCCTTCCTTCCTCTCTCCCTCCTTCCTTCCTGCCTGCATGCTTGCTTTCTTTCTTTCTTTCTTTCTTTCTTTCTTTCTTTCTTTCTTTCTTTCTTTCTTTTCCTGGCCCATTGTTCAACAGTGCTCAGGAGACCAGCAGTGCAGTAATTGAAAACAGGATTCAATAAAAATCAAGTATTCCCTCTCTTTGAGCTATCTCCCTGGCCCTCACATCACGTATTTCACGGGTAAATGTACACAAACCATTTATAAACCACAGGAATTATGCCATGTGGAAACTATACTTTTTAAACTGACATAATGTGTTCTTATAGTGTGACTGTAGCACTGTAGCACTGTCATTCCGTTTTTCATCGATTTGCTCGAGTGGGCTCTAGTAATGTTTCCACTGTGAGACTTGTTGTTACTGTTTCTGGCATGTCGAATATGCCAAGGGGAGCTTGCCAGGCTTTGCTGTGTGGGCGGGATGCTCTCAGTAGTTTACCAGGCTCTCCGAGAGGGATGGAGGAATCAAACCTGGGTCGGCCGCATGCAAGGCAAATGCCCTACCTACTGTGCTATCACGACGTGGTGTGACTAGTTGTTTTATTTATAAAAAGAAAGGGATGAGCCTCATGGACCACAAATTTCAATACTTGGCATGTCTGAAAGAGACTCAGTCACTTTCTGAAATTTAGTGTGCCATAAAAGTGTTATTTATTGATAGTCACTTTTTTGTGTTATGTAGATAAGGACAAAAATAGTTTTCAGAGCTTGTCAGCTACAAAATTTTCCTTCAAGGACTTCTTGCAGGGCCAGAAGGATTGGTCCACAGTTGGAAGCCTGCCTCAAGTGTTGGGGGTGAGGGCAGTTGGGATTGACAAGGGACCACTATGGCAATAATGTTGGAAGGGATCCCTCTGGATGGGAGATGCTTACTGAAGTGGGCAAGGGACCAAACATGATGCCTCTCAGTATCTGTATTGCAGACCATAATGCCCAAAATGGGGGTGGGGGGCGGGGGGGGGGAGAGAGAGAGAGAAAGAGAGAGAGAGAGAGAGAGAGAGAGAGAGAGAGAGAGAGAGAAGAAAAGTACATGCCCTAGAGACAGGAGATGGGGAAGGGGAGTGGAAGGGAGAGATACTGGAGACATTGGTGGTGGGAAATGTACACTGGTGGAGGGATGGGCATTGAAACATTGCATGACTAAAACCGGATCATGAACAGCTTTGAAACTGCATCTCTTGGTAATTCAGTTTTTAAAAAATTTTAAAATAAAATAAAGCATAATCAAGGACTTCTTGGGCTTTATAAGAATTTTAACAGGGGGGTAAGAAAAGTATCATTAATTGTGAAATTTAATAATCAGATTTTCTAAAGGGAACTAACTTGACATGCTGTATCAACACTGGTTTAAATACATAGGCATGTGAGATTATTCACTTTCCTTTGTTCACTCCTAATTAAAGGATAGTTCTTTTATTTTTTTTTTTAAATTTTTATTAGTGAAACACCATGAGGTACAGTTGTGGACTTTTTTTGTGCTTGGGTTTCAGTTATACAATGATCGAATACTCATCCCTTCACCAGTGCCTATACTCTACCACAAATGATCCCAGTATCCCTCCCACCCCCCCTTCCTCCCATCCCACCCTGCCTCTGTGGGCAGGGCATTCCCTTTTGTTCTCTCTCTCCTTTTGGGTGTTGTGGTTTGCAAAAGAGGCATTGAGTGGCAATGATGTTTGGTCTATAGTCTACTTTCAGTATGCATCTCCCATCCTGGGTGGAACCTCCCAACACCCTTAAAGGATAGTTCTTACCACTTTTCTTGAAATCAGAAGTCATTGACTCATTTAGATATTTATCCACCAATTAAATTACTGCAATAGAAAATCTTATGATTAAAGATTTAGATGAAAATGATGGGACAGAGCGATAGCACAGCAGATAGGGCGTTTGCCTTGCACGTGGCCAACCCGGGTTCCATCCCCAGCATCCCATATGGTCCCCCAAGCACCGCCAGGAGTAATTCCTGAGTGCAGAGCCAGGAGTGACCCCTGAGCTTTGCTGGGTGTGACCCAAAAGGCAAAAATAAACAAATAAATAAATAAATAAATATTTAGATGAAAATGAGCTTCACATGGCAAAGCAAGGGCTTAGAAGTGCCTCCCATGGCCTTTTCAAAAATTAAGTGAATTTGGACACTAGCAAAATAAATCTGTATTAAACACTCAACACATATTCTTCCCAGGGTGCTCATCAGTGTTTTCTAATATCGGTCCTGAATTTCTTATGTGTTTGCAGATCAAAATTTGAAAGAAGGAGATCTTGATAACAGATTAAACGAGTAACCCTAAATAGTTAAAAAAAAATTCAGTCTGTCCTTATCCACCGAGGTTGTCTTCAGGAATCACTTGATAGTAAAAATGTGATTTTTTTCCCTATATGTACGGCTCAGTTTCCTATACATACATACCCCTGATGAAGTTTAATTTCTAAACTAGACACAGTAAGGTATTTACAGTTATAATGATAAAATAAAATATGTATAGTAACATATTGCAATAAAAGATATGTTAATATAGTCTATCTCTCTCTGAAAATGTTTTACTCTGTAATATTATTTTCTGACCATGATTGATGGAGGGTAAATATAACTGTGAAAGGGAAAACCGCAAGAAAGGGAGAACCACTTTAGAAGAATAATTTGAGAGGTAGACGCCAATGACTACATTTGACAAATCATTAAGTGACTGTCAATCACATAACCCATAGAGTAACTGTCCATCAACCATAAGCTGTAGTCTTGGTGATTGATAGTTGCATGTTTGTTAGTTACTCTATAGATGGGAAAATGCTGAGTTATAGTCAACCACACCTGGAATACTTGCAAGGTGGTTGGGGTGACCTTTATTTTGGATTTATTTTCATTTCTTTTCTTTGGGCCCCACCCAGCGGTGCTCAGGGCTTACTCCTATTTAAGTATCTATGTAAGTACATATAACAACAACCCTATGGAAGGAACCTCAGTGAACTTTGGTGTTAAGTTGTGGGGGTTCCCACTCATTTGATATTCTCTTATTAGAGGTTTTTTATTCATGCCCGGCAAGCTACCGAGAGTATCTCGCCCGCATCGCCCACATGGCAAAGCCTGGCAAGCTCCCCGTGACGTATTCGATATGCCAAACACAGTAACAAGAAGTCTCACGATGGAGACGTTACTGGGCCCGCTCGAGAAAATCAATGAACAACAGGACGGACAGTGTTTGTTTGGACAGTTTTAAAAATAAAGAGTATCACCAATTTCCTATAGTTTACTAAAGTTTTGACTAATTACAATTTGCTTTTCTCAAACATTTCAGAAAGAAACAGCAGAAAATGTTTATATTCTCTTCTAATTCCAAAATGATTCTTCTATGTTGAAAAATTGTATTCTTAATTATAGATATTAAATTTTGTTTGTATAAGTAGTTTATGCCCAATTAAAATATTCAACGTTAGAAAAGATAAGTGGGATTATACAAATTAAATTTATAAGCACAGAATCAGCAAATGTCCCTGAGCACCATAAGGTGTGGCCCAAACAAACAAATAACGCACAAACAATTATGTAAGCATTTTATTTGGTGAAAAAAAAATTTCAAGGACTCTTTCTTACCTCAAGTATGGGACACATAATTTCTGCTGTGACATCACCATGATTCTTGCAGAATTTATAGAATGCCTCAAGGTAAGACTTAAAAAGAAGATCATAAAACAATAAAGTGAATGTGCTTTCCTTTCGGGAAGTCTACATAAACTTAAATCTGATTTATTAAATGCTTTAATAGAAAGTAAAATATTTCTCTCATATATTTTATAATAAATCTGCTATTAACTTCCACAGTGAAGCCTGTTATACAGCCTAAGAAAGAACAGAAAAACAAAACTGCACTTATCATACTTTATAATTGCTTAGCAAGCACTTTCTTGCAAGGTTCTTGGATCATTTCACATAGTCGACTGTTGATATTATAATAAAAATGCCAAAGTCTCCTATGAGCTCAGCAAATAAGTCTAGATTTTGTCCTCTGCTGACATTTCATCTCTGTTAGGGCTCACAAGGTCTACTTGGATAACTCGGAGCATGGTGGGTGTGTTGTTCAAAGCAGAGTCTAGGTCGTGGAGTGAGACTACTTTGATCACAGTTCTGGAATATTCTAGCTAACTGACTCTGCCAAGTAAGTCTTATCTCTCCGTGCACCAGGTTTCTCAGCTGAGCGCTGAGGCTGAGGAGAACTGGTAGCTTTGTTGAATGAATTCAGCAAATGCCTTGAAATTGCATATAGCAGTGACTTCTATTAGGAATATCTCAAAAATGTTTTTTTTAGATGAAGTTTTCTTATATAAACAAAACTTCTCTGCAATGCAATACTTTATTTTTTATCTTTTGGGTCACACCAGGTAGTGCTCAGGTGTTACTCCTGGATCTGCAGTCAGGAATCATTCCTGGTGGTGCTTGGGGGACCATATGGGATGCCAAGGCTTGAACGTGGTTGGCCGTATACAGGGTAAACACCCTCCGCGCTGTATTATTGTGCCAAACCCTGCAATGTAATACTTTAGAGACTATATTTTATCATAAGGTAGTATAAACGTGTCTATTCTTTTATTGTGTTGATGGCTTTCTTGTGCAATTCAGGAACTGTACAACAATTGAACAAAAAGATGTTGCACAGTACAAGATTGACTATGCATGGTGATGGCTTTAAAATGGAATAATATGATTCACCCTATTGACCTACTGACCTGTCTACAGACACATAACCAAGACATTTAATCCAAACATTTAATATTCCAGGTACCATGCATGCACCGGATTAAGGAAAAGGATGATATTTCCTCTCAGGAACTTGTGGGTTGAGGGAAGGTGATATGTGTGAATTTAACTAAAAGACAGGCAGGGCTGTATAGGCTATGTTCCAAGTAAGCACAGCTTCCTCATTGTGGCATTTGGCTAACAGACAAAACAACTTTTATATGTAAATTTCAATTATGGTGTTATTAGGTATCTGGGGAAAGTTACCTTGTATAATTTATTGCGCAGTAATTCAATATTCAATTCATCTAGAGTATTTTCAGACATACAGTCCTGAAAGAAAGGGGCTGAAAATAGAAAATAAAAATTATCATATAAATCAATTAAAACATGATAATAAATTATAGGAAAGGTCTCCTAAAGGTACTAGTATGTCACCCATGCCTGACAAGGTTGTTCTATGGTAACATAACACTTCACAGTAAAGAGACTAGGAGGGACTATTTACTAAGCACTCCATATGTAAAAGCCAGATACTACGTGCTGAATATACCTTAATTTATTTAACCCTCACAAGATCTTGAAATTGTTTATTTTAATGTTGACTGTTTGGGAACACACCCTGAACTCCCCTGGCCATTATCTCATATTTACTATTTGTGACTTGACTAAGCTTTGAGTTGCTCTGAAAGTATATTTAGTTTACAGAATTATAATATAGTTAAATACTACCACTTTTAAAATGATAAATCAACTAAACTGAACTTCTCTGTGTCATCTGATTGGGAACAGACTGAGCCTAGCTTTCCGTTCAAAAATGTCTAGTTCATCCTGTTTTTTGTCATTTAGTGCTGACATAGCATGGGCAACTTAGAGAAAAATTGTTTTTCTTCCTCAAATTTGTTTTAAATGGCAATTCTTTTGTTGTTGTTGTTTTATTTTTTAGGGGTCATACCCAGAGGTACCTGGGGTTTACTCCTTGCTATGTCCCCAGGGATCACTCCTTGGGGGATTGTAAGGAGTGTCAGGAATCCAACCTGGGCCACCTGGGTCAGAGATAAGAATCTTATCTCTGTACTATCTCTCCAGCCCTTAAATGGCAGTTAATGGAAAACTGGCCGTTAGCCAGATTTTCTTACAATCATGTGTACAAAATTATTGCTCTAACGTTTGTAATACTTCAACTATTGTTCATGCCAAATTAGAATAAAAATATTCATATCATCATTGCTTCAGATAGTTGGACAGGCATTCCTAAACATTTGATAGAAAAATGGCATCCCTAAACTTCCTAGTACTAAATACTTTCCACATCAATCTTATTTACAAAGAAATAGAAACTAGAAGGTGATAGGATTAATCACAATAAAATTCCACTAGAGATTATTATAAAAAATTACATTCTACTAGTTGTTAAGTTCTAGTGGAAACTGTGATAACTTTAGAGTTTTGGAGATGAAACTTCTATGGTTCTCAGGTGATCCTGGACAGCTTTTTCATCTGGAGTGAAGAAAGGGAGATAGAAGTAGATGGCTTAAGGCCTTGTTCAATTTAGTAGTCTGTGTAGATGCATCTGTGTACAAGGAGAAAGCTCTAAACTGCATATGTGTTTTCTTTTTGTTTTATTGCTTTGGGGGTCATACCCGGTGATACACAGGAGTTACTCTTGGCTCTGCACTCAGGAATTACTCCTGGCAGTGCTCAGGGGACAATATGGGATGCTGGGAATTGAACCCAGGTTAGCCATGTGCAAGGCAAATGCCCTACCTTCCCTGCTGTACTATCGCTTTAGCCCCGAATAACAGTTATGATAGAGGAACTGTGAGTGTGTGGATTCATACCCAGTGGTGTCTCAACCAGGACAGCATGGAACAGGTCAGAGGGTGTCTCTGCAATGTTGACAGCTTCCATTTCTATGAAGCGACCCAGCGGATGGCACTTCATCAGAATCTCTTTTACAGATTTCTTTTGCAATGCCCCATTCATCAATAAAATCACGTTGTCTATCATATAACTGCACCTGGTGTAAAAGAACACTCAATTATTTGGAAAACAACTGCATGAGAGAAAGTAGCATCCCTGAAGATGAAATGCATACAGATTCTCTCTCTCTCTCTCTCTCTCTCTCTCTCTCTCTCTCTCTCTCTGTGTCTCTCTCTCTCTCTGTCTCTGTCTCTGTCTCTCTCTCTCATATGTAGGTAAGGGAAAATATATGACTTTATAGGTAGATGACAGGTTGAAAAAGCATTTTGCTGTTACAATTACCAATTAAAAATAAGTTAAACATTGGCTTGTGGGGCTGGAGCAACAGCACAGTGGGTTGTGTGTTTGCCTTGCAAGCGGCCAACCCAGGTTCGATTCCCAGCATCCCATATGGTTCCCTGAGCACCACCAGGGGGGATTCCTGAGTGCAGAACCAGGAATAACCCCTGTGCATCACCGGGTGTAACCCAAAAAGAAAAAAAGAATCGGCTTGTGAGAACATGTAGAAGCTTTTAACATGTGATGTAGTCTGGGGAACACAAAATTGATTTTTCACATTGGCCAAGGGGTTTGCGAAGTTAAGAAACAGACAACTTTAGATATTACTATCCAATCTCACTATTAAAAAACTAATGAACCTATGATGAAATACATCACTGAGGATTCAAAATATTGAAATATTTTAAGTAAGTAAGTAAGTAAAGACGGGCTGGAGCGATAGCACAGCGGTTGGGCATTTGCCTTGCACGCAGCCAACATGGCCGACCCGAGTTCGATTCCTCCGCCCCTCTCGGAGAGCCCGGCAAGCTACCGAGAGTATCTCGCCCGCACGACAGAGCCTGGCAAGCTCCCCGTGACGTATTCGATATGCCAAACACAGTAACAACAAAGTCTCCAATGGAGACGTTACTGGGCCTGCTCGAGCAAATCGATGAACAACGGGAAGACAGCGACAAGTAAGTAAAGGCCCTCCCGTTGATCATCGATTTGCTCAAGCGGGCCCAGTAACATTCAGTCCCCGAAATATTTTAAATGAAATAAAAATTTCTAATATGAACTTATTAAATAATTTATTAAAATTAAGAGCAGAAAGTGAACATTCTAGATTTCCCATTCCTTAAACCCTAGAAGTTCAATAGATGCAGACTTTATGTGATTTCTTTCCTCATATAAATGGTGTCCAGGAAACAGGGATGAAAGGACCCTTTGGCTCATAGGCTGGGACTCACTAGTCTTTCAAGATTGAAAAGAGACAAAGTTCCTTCCTTCACATAGAAAATGATCCAAGGGAAGAGCAGGGACAAAGAATAAAAAAAAAGTCTCATGGTAAATGACAGAAAAGTGGACATGCTTTGCACAGGAAATTACAGGATTGTGCTGGTCGTCAGAGCAAGGCCCTCAGCTAGCCTGAGTCAAATTTACTAAAGTTCCATTCAGGCTGAAAACTGTAGACCAAGTGGGAGATGTGCAGACCCAAACCACTGAAAAGTGGAGGAGGAAGTGTTTCAAGGCAGACAGGAGAGCCAGTGAAAAGCCCCAAGAAGATATTCTTCTCCCTAGACTTGCGCACTGGAGTGGGGACCCAGGCTGAGCTTACATGGTTTCTTCCAGGGGAGAAATGTGAACATTAAGATACCGAATATTAATTAGAAGATACTAAATGCATTTAAGCAGAAGATACTGAACGTATTTAATGCACTGAAGCAGAAGAATGCCTTTTTGAATCCTCACTGGATTCATTAAATTTTTTAAATAGTGAGATCAAGTAGTAAGACCTAAAATTGTTTGTTTCTTAACTTCTCAAACTGCTAACCCAATGTGAGAAACTAATAATGCATTAAAGAAGAATTTTGGACTATGTAGAAGAGATTAAAACGGAAGAGGTAGACCAAGACTAATATAGTGAGATGTTCCCCAAAGTCACTTTTTTAGAAAAATCATGATAAATAACAAATTATTTAATCCTGGAAACACTATGATGGTAATTGGTATTTCTTATCTTACAGATGAGGAATCAGAGCCATAACAAAATCCCACCCATGCTGAAACAATGAACAAATGAGGGACTGGGGAGCCAGTACATTACATTTGCCTAGCATGCAACAAACCTGGGTTGAATCCCCACCATCCCATATGGTCCCCTGAACACTGCCAAGAGTGACTCCTAAGCGCAGTCAGCGTTAACCCTTGAGCATTGCTATGTGTGACTCCAAAATAAAACAAAAACAAAACACAAAAGAGAGAACTGAAAAATCAAATAGGCATTCTGTGACTGAACTTTCTCTGTCCACTTCCCCCCCTTTTTAATTGAGGTACGGTAATGGAATTTTTCTCTTAGCTGAAGTAAAGTAACCAAAGGTTCTGCCATCAAGAGTTCCCTTGAGAAAATATTGCAAACGGTTCTGGTGGAGTTGTAGAAGGAAAAAAGGGAGAAAGCAGAAAAGCTGATGGCTGTAATTAATAAGCAGGATTGGTAAAATAAGACAAGACAAGAGGTTTTGAAATAAAAAGAGTTCGAATCACAAATTGACCACAGAGAAAGGGAATAATCACTATATGGTGACTGAAGGACAAAGAAAGTTTTGACTTTCAGTCTTTGTGCATATAAAAAATTTGCAAACAGGAAACAAGCAAATTTGTTTAAATGGTGAGGGAAAGGGAATAGATTGCAAATAAGAAGAGGGAACAGGCTAATCAACACTTAAATCCTCACGACTAAACAGTGATAGTCGTGTTTACTAAACTTGATCACAATTCAGACTTGAGAAATAGTGGCTTTCACTGGATAAAATGTAACCAAGACATGAGTCAGTTTGCATGGTTTATCAATATCCGAAGCAAGGAGGGACTTTCAGGTAGAAAAGAAAGTCCCCTTCATTATGGAAATTCTACAATCAATCCTGACAAAAAATTCTATCTTAAAGAAGTTTGGAATCAGCCAATTATTCCTTTATAAAAAGCACATGGTAATAAAGTTTTTTTCACCTCTCAAACAACAGTACTAAATTTAGACATAATGGAATTTTAGAATCCTTTTTATCCCTTGAAAATGATATTCAAATGGAAGTGCTTATTTAACTGTCCCTTTATGGCTCACAAGCTATTACCTGAAGAGGGAATTACCAGCAGTTAATAATCCTTAGTAGGTTCCTGACATTTAATTGTTCCTCACAGCATCCCCTTAATGTAAAAGCTTATGAGCCGCCAACATCCTCAGTTTTGCAGAGAACTGTTAGGCCAGTGTTGATGAGCACCTGATGTCAGTGCGATGAGTGTGAATTTAGCTCACATGTAATACTCAAGCTCAGCCTTACTGCAAACCTGGGCTTGATCCTTAGCACTGCCAGAAATGATCTCTGTGTGCAGAGCCAGGAGTAAGTCCTGATCATAGCTGCAAATGGCCCAATCCTTGCCCCCAACTGAAACAGTCCCTTCTCCTGAAAAAAAAAAAAAAAGAATCAAGCACATGTGAAGTTTGTACATGTAGTTGTGCCCATGCAGACATGTGTGCATATGTGTAATAAGAATTTTCATTCATGTTACAACAGAGAGGGTAGGTATTATACTACACTGGGCAGGGATCATAAAGATTGAATCACTTTATTTCAATTCATTATTTAAGTGGCCCTATTTTTAACAGGGGTCAATAACACCAATTCCTAGTGTTTCTCAGGAAGTAAAGAGGGAACCCCAAGAGTGATGGGGTCACTGTCTCTCTGTGCCCCACTACACCTCTGTCACAGAGATCTATTGGGTATAGATTCATACTTGACTGGTGGAAGTGGGAGGGGGATATTACACCCAGGAAACTTTATTTTTTGCAGGCTTTAATCTTTATAGACTTCCAGGCATGTGGTCGCCAGGAATGGTATTATTGCTAATGCCATCGAGTAATTTTTGAGCTGAAAGGCACTTGGGTATTTGCCTGGTCCAAACCCTCATATTTAAGGAAACTGGGTTTGTCACATAGTGACAAGTCAGGAGAGCTCAAGTAAGGAAGATAGAATTTTCACCTCCTTTTCTCTGGACAAACATTTTCACTTTTAGCATTTTCTAAATACTTTACTCAAGAGTTCTGTAACTCTGAGAGGAAAACCTGTGAAAATCATGAAGTTCCTTAAAATTGCGGAGAAAATTATTCTTGACATTTCAAACACATTGGGTTGTAAAAATAATGTTTTCAATGCCAACCCTTTCTGAGCTTTTCACTACGTGTTTCACTCAAACGTCACAATTCAATGCTGGGAATACCCGGAAAATCATCACTTGTGTCAGCAGAAGTCTAAGGATGAGTGGTGTTAAATACCTTGTCCAAACAGACTTGGAGCCCTAAAACCAAAATTCTGGTTCACTTTTAGATTCAGATAAAATATATCTTAAATTGAAAGATATTTTCTTTCTTTCTTTCTTTCTTTCTTTCTTTCTTTCTTTCTTTCTTTCTTTCTGCAGCATTTTAGATCACAATTGCTTGTGTTCAAGGCTGACTCCTGGCTCTGTGCTCAGGGATAACTCCTGCCATACCTAGGGACCATATGTGGTGGCAGAATTGAAGCAGGGTTGGCCATACTCAGGCAAGCACCTTACCCCCTCTACTCTTACTCTGTTCACAGCAAGCTGAAAGATTTAAAAACCTCTTCTTGGTCTTAGAGACATTCTCTCTCCTAGATTTTTTTTTTCTCACAAACTTATTTAAGGATCCTGAAGATAAATAAAACACATTTCCTATATGATGACTATCAAACTCTAGGCTGATATCCACTGTTAAATGATAACATAATCTAGACCCAAGAATTACAAGCTAAACGAACTGTTTTATGGATAAAAGATTTAAATACTCGAATGTAATTACCAGTGCCTGAGAAATGACTGTCATTCTCATTCACTAGGCACTCAGACATAAGAATGAAAATGGGAACCATTTTCCAAGAACTCAGAGAAGCTGAAGCAAACAATGGTTCAGATCTTTTCCAAGGACAAACTACGTAGATGGAGGACACCAGTAAAACTGTGACAATTTATATCAATCTTTTCAGGCCT